TCGAACGGCTTCACCTTGTGAAGAATCTTCGGATCCATCATCTCGCCGCGCGGGGCTACCCGCTGCTGCTGAGCCTGTTGCTGAGCTTGAAGCTGACCTCGCATCTCTGCGATCGTCACGTCTCTGTTCTGAAGTTCCTGTCTCATGTTCTGACTCTCCGTCGTCAGCCTCTGAACTTGATCGACCAGTTGCTGCAGCTGCTGCTCCATCTTGATAGTCTAGCACGTCGCTGACACGCTTCCCTATCCTCTCGATGTCGCTTCTCAGCTGCCTCGTCACCGCTGCTCGCTCCTCCTGCGTGAGCTGCGCTCTGCTGCCGCACGCCTTGAGCTTCCTAAAGGCGGTCCCTCGGAGCTCGCGGTGCTGACGCGTGTCCGCCGACCTGCCTCCTCGCTTGTTCGGCTTCTTGGCCTTCTCCGTGGCTGCTTGGCCTCCACTGTCAGAGCGCGGGTCTGACCGCAGCTCTGACTAGCAAGGGGTCCTCTCGGCGCTCGCGTGGATCGGCCCGCCAGCTGCTGAGGGGCTCCTTGAGCTCGCCGGGGTGCGGAGCGGCCCGCGATCCTCAAGCGAGCTCCGCTACCATGCACGCGCACCCACCCCCCTCGCGGAGAAAAGGGGGGAGGTGAGGGTCGCTCTTTTCCTCGAGCAACAAAGGGCTGCAGGATTTCCTGGATCCTCCAGGACAGTCTAGATTATATTTTATATAATCATATATCTATGTGAAACTACAAACTTCCTAGCAATTATGCCGTCAAAGCAATTGCACGAGCTTGCCCTCGCTTGTTGCGACTAGACCGCGGGGGCAACGACATCAATGATGGCGCACTGCAAATTGTGAGTCAAGCCTGTCCTCTCCTGGAGAGCCTCGACGTCCAAGATAGTGGCATTGGCGATGTTGCCATACAAGCGGTGGCGCAAAGGTGCGCCCGAATAGAAGAATTGAATGTGGACGAATGCGCAAATCTTACAGATGCGGCTTTCCTCGCAGTTGCGCGGGGTTGTCCACGGTTGCGTTCATTGATCATCTGGAGTTCCTCGCCATGCACAAACCGTCTGCCGAAGCCAAAAATTACCGACACCGCCATCTGCGCCCTTTCGCAGCAGTGCCCGCACATTGAAATCCTTGAGCTGTGTGGGCTGGAGTCTCTGACCGACGCACCCATACAAGCAGTGGCTATCGGTTGCCCATCGCTGAAAGAGCTAGATGCAAGCTTGTGCTGTCCGCTGACTGATGCAGCGGCACAATCCCTTGAGCATCACAGTTCTAGTTCATCGATCTTGAAGTTGCGGGATTGCGCGAAGATCATCACTTCTGGTGCCAGCTGCAGTGCACAGGCGTTCCCTCTTCGAGTTGCAGGGCAGGGAGATGTGGTTGCATCTTGGCAGTGAGCACGGCGGTGCTGTTCAGTCACCTGCAATCTTTGCTGTTTCGTCACTGTGACAGCGCTGCTGCTCAGCATGCTGTGCGCGGTGCTCATCAACATGCTGTGGACTGTAGCCTCCGTGATGTTGAAAAATGTTCCTGCCGGTCCTTGTGCGCATCTGTCTCATTGATAGCAGTGTCTCGTTTGGAGATACAGTTCTCGACAGCAGTGAGTCGTTCGAAACTAAGCCCATGGATAGCAGTGTCTCGTTCGGAGATAAATCCAGTGATCGCCGCGTCTCATTTGGGGCTACGTCCATTAGTAGCAGTGTCTCTTGTAGGCTAAATCCATTGATGGCAGCGTCTCGTTTGGAATTCAATCCATTGATAGCAGTGTCTCGTTTGGAGATACAGTTCTCGACAGCAGTGAGTCGTTCGAAACTAAATCCATTGATAGCAGAGTCTCGTTCAGAGATAAATCCAGTGATCGCAGTGTCTCATTTGGGGCTAAATCCATTGATAGCAATGTCTCGTTTGGGGCTGAATCCAGGGATGGCAGTGTCTCGTTTGAATGTAAGTCCATTGATAGCGGTGTGTCGTTTGGAGATACAGTTATCGAGAGCAGTGAGTCGTTCGAACCTACATCCATTCATAGCAGTGTCTCACTAGTTCTACAACAGGAATCTTACATGAATCTTAAGTTGAATGCTTTCAGATTTGCTTTTTCACATCGCTGTTCGGTTGCTTTGCCGTGATAATTTTGTTGACAGGGACGGCGGGGGTGCCAGCACACAGCCTGCTTCGCGCAGAGTCACCAACCCTACTTACAAACAGTGCAAACTGCACATCGCGGCAACATCAGGATCATGCGCGCGCGCCCCGCGATCGCATCGCACTGGCTCGTGACAGGGCCGGCCGGGGTGCCCGCATATTGCCTGCTGCCTGCAGGCCCGCCAAACATCAGAATGGCGACTCCACCGCGACTGGGCACCGGCTTTCGACAAGGACGGTGGGGGCCGGCATGCTGTCCTGTGTGTGCGGGCGCACCTGCACCTTCTGCGCGTGCCCCGAGGGTGGCACGCCTGGCCCGGCCGGAGCACGTGGCAAACCTGGCGCGCGCGGAGCACGTGGCGCACCAGGGCGCGCCTGGCACGCATGGGCCCCAGGGGGGCCCGTCGAGCCCGGCGCGCGTGGATCACCTCGCCCCAGCGCCACGCACCTGGGGTTTTGCCTTGGCTTCCAGCAGGTGCCCATCCAAAGACGCCTGCGGAATATGCTTGGACTCGGGTGCTACTTCTGTGTTGGGATAGCAGGTGGGGGTGAGCCAAACAGTTTGCGACTGGGAGAACACTCTTGACTCCTCACATTGCCCCTTCCCCCAGGTCTGGAATGGGGGTGCCGCGAGGTGCCAGAGGGTCTCGTTTGGCCACAAGGTGGCTCAACGATGGCCAGGGATAACCCAATATGACCTGCCAGATGGCTTGCTCGAGATACTCCCCAAGATGCCTCCAAGATGCCCCAAGACCACCACCAGGACGGCTCCAAGTGGCCAGTAAGCCTCCCAAGAACTCCCTCGAGAGGCCCAAACCCTTCAAACCAAGTGAACATGAATCATGGTTTCCTTCTCGCCTTTCGTTCCAAATCAGCTTTCGAATCCTCCAAATTGCTCCCTGACTGCCCACGAAAAGGGCCAAGGAGGCACCTAAGAGTGCCCCAACAATGCGCAAGAGCGCCCCAAGCGGCGACTTTCGGGCCTCCGAAGGGGACGGGGGGTGTAATGAAGACCCCCTCGTTTCGGACCGATGGCGTCCAAGGTCCCCCCCAAGGCCCCCAAGAGAGCCCCCAAAGAGCTTCAAGAGCGCCATGAGGGCCCCCTGATGAGAACCACGAGAGCTCTGAGATAGTTCCAAGAGGCCTCCATGAGGCGTCCAAGGAACTTCTGGAGCGAAATATCCGCGAAGGTCTTCATGCTCAACTCTGGCCGCCGTCGTTTTCCTCCATGTCCTCCTGCGCCTCCTCTTCCTCCTCCTCCTCCTCCTCCTCCTCTTCCTCGCCCTCCTCACAGTGTATGACCTGGAAGCTTAAACTCTGAAACATGATCACAGATGGAGGGCATGTCTCTTTCAACGGGTGGCTCTTGCTGCAGCGCCGCGCAGATTCGTCTCAAAGCTTGCAACAGTTTCAAAAAGATGGAGGCGGCTCCTGTTCATCATGTGGCCTTCGCCTTGGCGACGCGCACATTCGTCGTAAAAGTGTGCATCAGCTCCAAGGCTGGATGCGGCTCCTTGACAAAATGTGGCTCTCGCCTAGCGCCGCGCACATTCGTCTTGAAAGTTCGCAGCGGTTTCAAGGATTCGTATGGGTGGAATCCCAGGAATGGCGCAGCGTGGTGATCTCGTTGGGGACTTCGCTACATTGGGCCACACTTACACGCGGATGGGGGGCGTCGCAGTCACTATAGAAAGATTGAGGACTTCCTGTCAAACGGACCTGACATCTGAATTATTGACGCTTCACGTTTCCCCGCCAGGCTATCCAGACACGATCGCCAGGCAATCGTTGCCCTGATCAGGGAAGTGTAGGAGCATCCAGTGAAACGTACAGGCGAGTCAGCCGTCAAGCCCGAGCTCAGAATGAACCTGAACATGGAAGAGGAGGGGGCGGGGGAGGATAAGGGGAGGAGGAGGAGGAGGAGGAGTGCGAGATGACAGGAGGTGGGAAATGAGGGAAGGAGAGTAGGGGGATGAGAGGAAGGGGGGAGGGAAAGGGAGACGAGGGCGAGGAGGGAAATGGGAGCAGGCAGGAGGAACAACAAACCGAATAGGAGCATCAACAAAGGCTAAATGTGAGGAGAGGAGGCGTAATACGGCTACGCAGCTGGCGCTTGCGCTTGCCAGCATTGATTAAATTGTGTGCGCAAGGCACTAAGGCCTGACCTGAATGTCAGCACAAAGCAGAGAGGCCTAGGAATATGGATACAACATTGGGAAGAGAAGGATTTGAGGACGAAGAGGAGAAATAACGCAAACCGAGAAAATTATCATGAGGATGATGGTGATGATGATGCGGATGATGATGATGATGGTGATGACGGTGGTGGTGATGATGATCATGCTACTGATGATGATGATGATTATGATGATGCTGATGCTGATGATTAGGATGATGTCACGTGACGTGAGTGTATGATGAAGAGGACGGCGAGGAGGACGAGGAAGATGAGGATGACCAGGAATATTAGGATTATGACGAGTCTAAGATGACGACGACGACGACAACGGCGACGGTTACGGCGACGCCGATGGAGATGGTGGAAGAGGAGCAGCCATTGGAAGCCGAGGGAGAGCAGGAGGTAGAGGATAGAAGAAAGAACAACACAATGAGCATATTGGCGGTGCGCGCGAATTTCTTGGATCCGCGCTGGATCCCTCTCCCTGGCGCACGGAGAGCACCAGGGGCGGCGCCCGAAGCGCCGCGGGGGGGTCCAGCGCGGATCCGAGAGATCCGCGCGGAGCGCTCAAAGTTTATGTTTATGGCGTGTCTTGTTCCTCGAGAGGAGGGCGAAGAGCAGTGGTTGAACATGGGCCGACCGTCCCGGCCCAGCCCTGGGAAGCGCTGGGGGCGTCCGGGCGGCCACCTGCCCCAGCCAGCGCAGGAGGCCCCGCCGCGGTGGAAGCGTCGGCGGACGCGGCGGCGGCGCGGAAGGAGCGGAGCGCGTCGAGCACCGCCTGGGCGAACGCGGGGGCGGCGGAAACAGGCGCGCCCAGACATCCAGCGTCTCGAAAAAATCGAGAAGTGGGTTCTTCATCGTTTTCGGCCCCTCGGGGCCTCCACCGGGCCTCGGGACCGTCAGAAAACGACTCGGGATAAAGCACCGGTCCCGGGCAAATGGTCGAGAGGTCGGGGGCCTGGGCCTCGAAAAATCGAGGCGCCCGATGTCTGCGTGCGTCAGTGGGCGGATTCGGTACTGGCCCGCAGGGGGGGGGGGGGCGTCTTCAGGTGCCGCGGGGGGATGGCGGTAGCGACGGTGGCGTGGAGCGGCGACGGAGGCCGAGGAGCGACGAAGATCGAAGGGCTCCGGCGTCGAGGCCAGAAATGCGTACTGACTACCTACCAGACCACCCCAACCCAACACGAAGACCCGAATTTCGGGTTGGGTGGGGTAAGGGTTCCACATGTGTTTTTTCAACGTTTCCCGACCCCCCCCCCACTGGAAATCGAGGGTAAATTTGAGCCTTCGGGTTGGGTTGGGGTGGTTTGGTGGGTGGTGACGTACGGAAACGGCATGATCCCCCTTCTGCACGCGAGGCGACTGGCCAGTATGAACGCCACAGCGCCGCATTCCAAACGAACACGTGCTTGACAACCCACTCTGCTGGACCTCACTGGAGCCCACGATGGTGGCGACAGGTGCACAGTTGGCCGCCCCCCAGGGAGCTGCGAGGTCTTGCTTAACAGCCCACTCCGCTGGACCTCCCAGGAGCTCGCGATACTGGTGACACGTGCGCAGATGGTAGCCCCAAACGGAAGCGGCGAGGTCTCGCCTGACAAGTCACCCAGTCACCCCGCTGGACCCCCAGGAGCCCACGAAAGTGGCGACACATGCGCAGTTGCTAACCCTTCAAGGGAGCCACGAGGCCTTGCCTGACAGACACTCCGCTGGACCTCCCAGGTGCCCACGGAACTGGCGACATGCGCGCAGTTGCCAGGGAGCCGCAAGTCTCGCCTGCCAACCGTCCCCGCTGGACTTCCCGGGAGCCCACGAAACTGGCGACAATTTCGCCAGCCTCCAGGGCTTCGCGAAGACTTGCCTGACGACCCTCTCCGCTGGACCTCCCAAGAAGCCACGAAACTGGCGTCAGATGCGCAGTTGGCAGCCTCTCAAGGGAGCCGCGAGGTCTCGCCTGACAGCCCTCCCCGCTGGAACTCGCAGGAGCCCACGAAACTGGCGACAGTTGCGCCAGCCTCCAGGGAGCCGCGATGTCCTCCTGCCTGGCAGCCCTCTCCGCTGGACCTTCCAAGAAGCCACGAAATTGGCGACAGATGCGCAGCTGACAGCCTCTCAAGGGAGCCGCGAGGTCTAGCCTGACATCACGCTCCGCTGGACCCTCCAGGAGACCACGAACGTGACGAGGGCTGTCCAAGTCGCAGCCCCCCAAGGATCCGTCAGGTCTCGCCTGACAGCCCGCTCAGCTGGACCCCAAGAGCCCACGAGCGGCCGCAGCTGCGCAATTGGCAGCCCCCCAGGGAACCGCGAGCTCTCACCGTCATCTGCGTGACTACCCACTCCACTGGGACTCACAGGAGCCCGCGCTATTTAGTGGCGACGGTCGCGCAGTTGGCAGCATCCCAGCAGGAAGGGCAGGAGGGAGGGGGCAAGGATCAGGAGGATAGGATGTGACGGGGACCGCAATGCTCTATTCAAAACGAGAATCCATCACGGGAGGGCTGCGACAATGTACCCTGCGACGGACCCAACCCGTCTGCACTAAGTGACATGAGCAGCTGGTCCAGAATAGTTTGGCTGATGACGACGCAGGGTCTACCCGTGGGAAGCAGACGCGGTGCGCGACCCACAGGACAGCAAAACAACGACGGTAAAGCCACAGGCTCAAACAGGAAATGTGGTGGAAAAGCGGGGCAGTCAATGGACCGAAGGAGGACGAACGTTGAATGCGACAGCAGCAGTGAGACGACGAAGTAGGAAGAGGAGGACAACAAAAGATGAGGGAAGAGGATGGCCGCCATTTTCCAGTGGCATGGGCGGCAAGAAGAGCGCCCCGCGCCATGTCGCCCTGACGCTCCCAAGGATCAGCTGCTCATAGCTAGTGCAGGAAGTGAGCCGACCTCGCCCACCAAATTCTTCGCTTCCTTCCTGCACCGTGCAGCGGGAGCTGAACGCCAGGAGCGCCGCCAAGTCTTCGAGACCAGCGGGACGTCACTCTGCTAGACCCCCCAGCAGCCATCGAAAGCGGCGACCATTTCGCAGCTCGCAGCCCCACCAAGGATGGCGAGGTCTGATTGAGGTTCTCGTGGGAAGTCACTCCGCTGGACCCCCCCGCAGCCCTCGAAAGCTGCGGCAGTTTCACAGATCGCAGCCACCCAGGGATGGCGAGGCCAGATTTTGGTCCGCGTGGGATGTCACTCCGCTGGACCCCCTTTGCAGCCCTCGAAAGCTGCGATCGTTTCGACGATCGCAGCCACCAAGGGATAGCGAGGTCTCAGTTAGGTCCGCGTGGGACGTCACTCCGCTGGACCCCCCAGCAGCCCTCGAAAGCTGCGGCAGTTTCACAGATCGCAGCCACCCAGGGATGGCGAGGTCAGATTTAGGTCCGCGTGGGATGTCAATCCGCTGGACCCCCTTACAGCCCTCGAAAGCTGTGATCGTTTCGCTGATCGCAGCCACCAGTGGATAGCGAAGTCTCAGTTAGGTCCGCGTGGGACGTCACTCCGCTGGACCCCCCAGCAGCCCTCGAAAGCTGCGGCAGTTTCACAGATCGCAGCCACCCAGGGATGGCGAGGTCTGACTTAGGTCAACGTGGGACGTCACTCCGCTTGACCCCCCAGCAGATTTCGAATGTGGCAACGGTTTCGCAGATCGCAGCCCCCCAGGGCGCTCCCAGGCAGGACGGCGAGGTGAGGTAGGAGGCAGGGTAGCATGCAGGCACGCGGGGAGAGGATGAGGGATGCGGGAGGCGGGAGGAGACGTGCGCGCAGTGCTCTAATCAAAACGAGAACCAAACGCAGGAGGGTTGGGAAGAAGAAGGGAGGTGGCAAGGAGGAGGTGTGCGACCGCAGTGTTTCATGCAAAATGAGGGCCCAACGCCGCAGGGTTGGAAACAACATCCGGGCCACACCACCAGACGTCTGTAGGCTGGGCTGGGCGTTTCAGTTGACACATCCTTGAAATGTAGAGTCAGGAACTGTTGCTCAGCGTTGCGCGGCGGCCCCCGCACCACGCGGGCTCTGCAAGGTGATAGTGTATAGCTCTGCTTCGTGGGGCGGGAGGCCAGAACAAGCTCGGGACGTTGATGCTGAGGGAGTGGAACGTGCTGAGCGGAGCGTGTCGCGCCGAGGCGTGGTGGGCCAAGTGCGGCGGCGCGACACGTCACTCAAATTTTCAAATATTAAGGTGTAGACCTATCTATGTGTAGATGTATGGACTTCGCCTTGGCGCCGCGCATGGTCGTCCTCAATTCAGCATATTACACGGCACACGGTGGTTTTCAAAATGTGGCCCTGGCCTTAGCGCAACATTCATTCGTCGGAGACACATCTGATACGTACGGTACATCCTGGATGTGTCTCAGTCTGAATACCGGGTGTTGTTGAGGCCCGGCATCCGTGCGGGCAACTTTCACGGGTTGATGTTCTGTCGTTTTCAAAATGTGGCTCTCGCTGTAGTACCGCGTGCACTCGTCTCATCAGCAGCCATCAATCACATAGATTGGGGCTGTCAGCCACCACGAGTGTAAAGTTGCGCAACCGGATGGAGGGCGGCTCCTTTTTAAGATGGGGCTCTATCGCCTGAGCATTCGTCGGCCTTCACGCCCAGGCGTTCCACACTGTGCACGAGCTGGGCCCAACACAGTAGGGGCCCGACCACAAGAAACCCTCCACAAGAAGCCCAAACCTGAGACCTCTGAATGTCCATCGATTTTTGGTGCGGGAGCGTCACGCTCTCCATAGCAACACCATCGAAACCCAAGAAACCCAGGGCATCCTGGAGGCAAGCCGGGTGCTTCTTGGCACGGGCCTCCACTGCACGCGGCGGCTCCTCTTTTGCACCGCGGGGTCGCCGACCGTCCGCCGCGGCTTGCGCGGCTGCCAGCGCGGCAGGCCTCGTCGAGGAGAGAGCGCTAACGCGCGACCTTGCGTGGTGAGCTTGCGCGCGAGTGCCCGCACAGTCGAAGCGTTGTGTTTTCTCGTCGCTCAGATGGCGGGGGAGGGAAGGCACCGGCAGGCTCCGGGCAGAAGGGGGGGGGCCTTCCGTCAAGGCGCCGCCAAGAACAAGCAACAGCTCTTCCTGTGGCTCATGACGCGTGGCCTTTCCCACGGGCCAGCGATGCCACACGCGACGCGTTCTGCCCGCGGCCTGCAAGACCCAGCACGCACGATCGCAAAGTATTGCGCACATGTTCGGGACCCCCATCAAACTGAGGAAGAGGAGGAGAAGGAGGAGGAGGAGGAGGAAAGGAGAAGTAGGAGGAGGAGGAGGAGGAAGAGGAGGAGGAGGGGGAGGAGGAAGAGGAGGAGGAGGAGGAGGAGGAAGAGGAGGACGAGGAGGAGGAGGAGGAGCAGGAGCAGGAGTCGCGCCGCGCCCGCAATGTGCGGAAGCCCCCGCTGTTCTGATCGCGCCCTCGCGAGGCCACCCTGGAGGGGGGGTGGGGGGCGCTCTCCGACCAAGGGGGCCGCGCCGCGCAAGGCGCGGCCATCCTCGCGCGCCTCCTCCTTCTCTTCCTCCTACTCCTCAAGGCGCGAGGGCTCCTGAGAAGCCCCGCCGCCTTCTAAGAGGGCCTTCTCCTTCTCACTTCCCCCCCTCGCTCGCCGCCGAACTGCGGCGCAGCCTGGGAACAGGGACGTGAAAGACCCGGCAGAGGGTCCGCTGGGGGACCCAGATACCCCGCCCCATGGGGGTACTTCTGCCCCACGCGCTCCGTATTCACAACTACGCAATGTGATCACTCCACCCCCAGCGGCAACGGCCGCTGAGGGGGGATGGCAGCGCCCGTGGATGCACCGATGCAGAGCGGACGATTGCAGCCACAAGGGGGTGAGGGAGACGGAGGGATAGGCAAGTAAGGAAACAGAGGGTGAGGGGAATGGAGCGAGAGACAGTGCAGGGAGACGGAGTGAGAATTGGGTAAGGAAACAGAGGGTGAGCGAGGATAGAGATGGACAGAGATGGGGAAGATGGGGGGGGGAGCGGGGGGGGGGGGCTGGAGAGGGCAAGAGCGGGAGCGATGGCGAGCCGCGTAGCGCGCAAGCTCTTCTCAGCAAGGCTCCCAACAGATACCGGTGACGTAACACGCGCTTACCAGCAAGGCTCCCAAGAACGAGAGGTGACGCAACACGCTCTTACCACCAAGGCTCCCAAGAGCGAAGGGTGCCATGAACCATCTCGGGCAAGTTGCTGAAACGCTCTTTCCGATCCCGTGCCGGCCCAGGTAACGGAAAGAGCGAGGTACGAGTGATGACGTTCTAGTGTGGGGCGAAGCCCTTAAGGGAGGGGCGAGGCGGAGGCGCAGGGTTGGTAATGGCCGTTTTCGGGTTTTCCCTTGGGTTTTTGCATGGTTTCTGGGTTCCCCCCCAAGACGGCCCAAGAGCGCTCCAAGAGAGCCCAAGACCGCCCAAGACGGCCCAAGAGGCCCCAAAGAGGCGCCCACGGGGCGTCCCAAAGAGGCGCCCACGGGGCGTCCCAAGAGGGCCCCAAGAGGCCAAAATCATTGATTTTCCTTGGGGAGACATTCAATTTTAGCATATACGGCTTTTCGGCTTTCACGGCGTTTGTCCAAGAGGCCCCCAAGACCGCTCCAAGACGGCCCAAGAGGCTCCAAAGAGGCTCCCAAAACGGCCCCCAGACGGCCCAAGAGGCGCCCAAGACGGCCCAAGAGGGCCCCACGACGGCCCCAAGAGGGGGACCACGAACCGAAAAGTTTAGCCTTTCGCCCCAAGACGCTCCCAGGAGGCCCCAAGAGCCCCCCAAGAAGCCCCAAGAGGCCCCCAAGAGGCGTCCCAAGAGGCCACCAGGAGGCCAAACTCATGGAATTCCGATGGGGAAGGGTACATGTTTAGCATACACGGCTTTTCACCTTTCACGGCGTTGACGCCGGTCCAAGAAGCCCCCAAGACCGCCCCAAGACGGCCCAAGAGGCTCCCAAGAGGCCCCCACAACGGCCCAAGAGGGCCCTATGACGGCTCAAGCGGCGCCCAAGACAGCCCAAGAGGGCCCCAATCTAGCCTTTCGCCCCAAGAAGCCCCCAGGAGGCCCCAAGAACCTCCCAAGACGCCCCAAGAGGCCCCCAAGAGGCCCCCAAGAGGCCCCCAAAAGGGCCCCAAAAGGGCCCCAATAGGACTCCCAAGAAGGCCCAGAGACGCCAAATGAAGAGAGATCGGTAACGCAAAAAGCTCTTCACACCAAGGCTTCCAAGAGCGAACGGTGACGTAAACAAGCTGATAAGACCAAGGCTCCCAGCAGAGAGCGGTGACGTAACAAGTTCCTGACACCAAGCCCCAGCCAAGGCTCAGGAACAGGCGGCAACGCAGCAATCTCTGAACACCAAGGCTCCCAAGAGCGAGGGGTGACGTAACAAGCTCTCAACGCCAAGGCTCCTGGTACGAACGGTGGTGTGAACAATGTCGGTTTCTGTTTCTGCAAGGCTCTTTCCGTTTCCGTGCCGGCCCAGGTAACGGAAAGAGCGAGGTACGAGTGATAACGTTGAGTTGGGGCGAAGCCCTTAAGGGAGGGGTCCAGGGAACGGGCGACGGCCAGATGCAAACGTCTAATGGCCGGTTTCGGGTTTTCCCGATGGTTTTTGCATGGTTTCCGGGTTCCCCCCCAAGACGGCCCAAGAGCGCTCCAAGAGAGCCCAAGACCGCCCAAGACGGCCCAAGAGGCCCCCAAGAGGCCCCCAAGAGGCGCCCAAGGGGCGTCCCAAGAGGCCCCGTTTTCCTAGGGAAAACGTATATGTTTCGCTTGTGCGGCTTTCCGGCTTTCACGGCGATGACGACGGCCCAAGAGGCCCCCAAGACAGCCCCAAGACGGCCCAAGAGGCTCCCAAGAGGCCCCCAAAACGGCCCAATAAGGCCCCCAGACGGCCCAAGAGGCGCCCAAGACGGTCCAAGAGGGCCCCACGACGGCCCCAAGAGGGGGACCACGAACCGAAAAGTTTAGCCTTTCGCCCCAAGACGCTCCCAGGAGGCCCCAAGAGCCCCCCAAGAAGCTCCAAGAGGCCCCCAAGAGGCGTCCCAAGAGGCCACCAGGAGGCCAAACTCATGGAATTCCTGTGGGGAAAGGTACATGTTTAGCATGCACGGCGTTTCACCTTTCACGGCGTTGACGACTGTCCAAGAGGCCCCCAAGACCGCCCCAAGACGGCCCAAGAGGCCTCTACAACGGCCCAAGAGGGCGCCAAGACGGCCCAAGAGGCGCCCAAGACGGCCCAAGAGGGCCCCACGACGGCCCCAAGAGGGGGACCACGATCCCAAAAGTCTAGCCTTTCGCTCCAAGACGCTCCCAGGAGGCCCCCAGAGTCCCCCAAGAAGCCCCAAGAGGCGCCCAGGAGGCCCCCAAGAGGCCCCCAAAAGGGCTCCAAAAGGGCCCCAATAGGACTCCCAAGAAGGCCCAGAGACGCCAAATAAAGAACGATCGGTAACGCAAAAAGCTCTTCACACCAAGGCTCCCAAGAGCGAACGGTGACGTAAACAAGCTGATAAGACCAAGGCTCCCAGCAGAGAGCGGTGACGTAACAAGTTCCTGACACCAAGGCCCAGCCAAGGCTCAGGAACAGGCGGCAACGCAGCAATCTCTGAACACCAAGGCTCCCAAGAGCGAGGGGTGACGTAACAAGCTCTCAACGCCAAGGCTCCCAGTACGAACGGTGGTGTGCGTAATTTCGGTTTCTGTTGATGCAGCGCTCTTTCCGTTTCCGTGCCGGCCTCAGGTCTACTGGCCGAGTTCAATTCAGACTCGGGTCAGTCGGGCCTTGCAAGATCCTGCAACATCCTGCAGGATCCTGCACACTTTTCTGGGTCAGTGCCCCTTTGGCTCTGCAGGATCCTGCAAGATCCGGCACTCTGACTGACACCCGTTTGCAGTGTCCCTTGTCTCAAGGCCCCCGAGGCCCCCCCGACTTGGGTCTTGGGCGTCGCGTGGTGGAGCGGCGATAGATGGGGGGGGGCGAGGGCTGCTGAGAAGGGGCCCCTTCGGGCCCCTCCAGGGCCCCAAAAGGAAGCCAATAGGGCCCGAGAAGTGCACCTCTCTCCCCCCCATGTATCGCTCCTCCATTGAGCGACGCCAAACCGCCCCTTCTCCTTCTGCCTGCTGGCGGCGGCGCGCGGCGGCGCGGGCGGTGCCCCGATCTGCAGGCCGGTGTCGAAGCAGACGCCCTCGGGCGTCTCGGTGCCGGCAGCGCGCCTCCTCGGCGGCCAGCGCGGGCCAGCCCGCTGTCGCTGCCGCGTCGGCCGAAACGCCACCATCACAGCCGTCGCTGCCGCCATCCACTGCCACAGTCGCCACCACCATCACCGTCACCACCACCACCATCCTCATCACAATCGCCACCAGAATCATCACCATCATCATCACCATCACCGTCACCATCACCACAGCAGTACCCTCGTCATCATCATCATCATCATCATCATCATCATCATCATCATCATCAGCATCATCATCATCATCAGCATCCTCATCCTCATCCTCATCCTCATCAACACGGTCGTCGTCGTCGACTCCACCCAAAGCAGTCATCACCTTCGTCGCCATTGTCGCCGTCAACCACCATACTCTTCTCCACTACCACCTGTCACAACATACGCACGATTCGCGTGAGCTACAGGCAGTTCTTCTACTCATTCGGTTGAATCTTGCTGCCTCCAGATTACAAACCTCAGCAAACGCACGATGCAGAACGATGCCGTCAAGCAGTGAACCAGCATCGCCGAACCCATGTTTTTCCTTCTACATTCCCATCCCTGGCCTACGGCTTAAGCCCTATTCAGGCCTGCGCGCTGGATCTCAATCGGGGCTCGTCAGGCAGTCATCCGACCGACACCGTCGCGAGCGAGCTGAGGGCTGAGGGCATGTGCCCTCCCCGTGACAGGCAAAATACACTCCAAGCCAGGCCTCGCGCAAACACTCGTGGCGCACACCCGAACAATAGCGCTGCCACCGATCCAGCCGGCCACTGCTTCGCAGACTATTCTGGCTTCGCAGACTATCCTGGCCCAAGCCACCCCTCTGCCCTCCTCACGCTCTCCCTCTGGTCGGTCTCGTTTCTCGTCGTCTCGTCGACGGGTCCTGTTCATACATGAGCGTCGTTCGCGGTGTCTCGTCGGTTCCTCATCCCCGGCCTGCGCTGGTCGCCGTTGGCCCATGTCTTGCGATGTGCCTGCCGTGTCCCTTCTAGCGGGGGTCCTTCTCTCGTGCAAATTAATGCCGTTCGCTTCATCACGGACCCCGTCTTATATCCATTATCTTCCTTTGCGCCCGCCTTCTACCAACCACCAATACTTCCACGATCATCATCATCGTCAGCGCCTGCCCTGGCATCGTGCTGCTGCTGACGGTGCCTGTGTTGCTGCGCCGCTGCTGCTGCTGCTGCCTGCGTGGGCGGCCACGTATCCGATATATTCCTGACCAGCTCGGCAACGCTGTTAACACTGGCGATCGCGGCTGCCAGTGTCGCCAACTGTGCAGGTTCTCTCACAAGTGCAGTGTTGACGCCAACGCGCCACCGTCGGTTTCTTCATCTGTTTCGTCAATCGCCTCCTCCCCGTCCACTAGCGTCTTCCTCGACGTCTGGGTGGTCAGGTCCAAGAAGTCCAGGAGGTCCCGACGGCTGAGCATGCCAAGGATACCACCACTGCCTGTCGGGGCGGCGGCGGTGCAGAAATACATATGTCTGTGCACATATGTGTGTAAAAACACAGAGAGAGAGAGACAGAGAGAGAGAGAGAGAGCAAAACAAGGAATGTAGAGAGAGAGGGAGAGAAACAACACATGAGGAGACACAGAGAACAAATAAACAACACCTAGGGAAAGAGGTGGTTACCAGCGAGAGAGAGAGAGTGGGGGAGAAAGAGAGAGTGAAAATGAGAGATAGAAACAAACACAAAGAGGGAAACATACAGAACATGTTATAGTATACGTAACAATCTGGGGCAGTAGTGCTCAGAGACGATTATGATTGAAAACGTCCGCGTTCGCGTTGTTGTTAACCGCTTCGCTCTGGACATCCTCGCTGGTCTGAAAACCGGATGCGCCCCTCATACAGATCGCGACGTCAAGGTCCCCCAAACCCAATGGGCGTTCAACATCCTCAAACAAATCCTTGAATAGCACATTGGCTTCCAAATCAGTTGCGCATGAAGGTTAGAACACAAACTCTAGCTCAATCGGTCACTGTGTAGTTCTCCCACAAGTCAATGTGTGGTTCTCCCGCATCATACCGCATAATCGTGACGAGCACAATCAATTCAGTGGTTTGGCACCTGTCTGGTGTTCCCAATGTAACAAACCACTTGTAATTACCAGCGTGAGCCCACAACCGTGCTATGTTGCGCGATGGACGTGGTGCAAAACACGTGGTGCAAGATATGTGGTATGAGCTAACTGGTGCCAACTACAACATGCAAGCTAGGTGGTGCAATGTATGTGGTGCACGCTATGCGGTGCAAGCTATGCGATGCAAGCTACGTGGTGCAAGTTACGCGGTGAGGGCGATGCTGTGCAATTGAAGTGGTGCAGGCCACGTTGTGCAAGCTACGTGGCATAACCTAAGCTGTGCAGACTATGTGGTGAACACTCTGTGGTGCAAGCGACGTGGTGTAAGCTATGTGGAGCAAGCTGCGCGATGCAAAGTCTGTGGTGAAGCTCGGCGGCGCAAGATCTGTTGTGCAGGCTATGCGGTACAACCTGCGTGGTGTAAGCTAAGTGGTGCAAACTGCAGTGCACAGGCTATGTGCTGCAAGCTGTGTGATGCAATATGTGGTGAACGTCGTGTCGTGAAAGCTCGGTGATGTAAGCTACGTGGTGCAAGCGGTGTGGTGTAAGCTAGGTGATGCCAGCTACGTGGAGCAATGTATGTGGTACAGACCATGTGGTGAACCTGCGTGGCGCAAGGTATGTGGTATTAGCTACGCAGAGAACACTCTGTGGTCCAAGCTGCGTGGTGAAAACAATGCGGTGCATGCCAGTGTGCGCATGAGGTATCCGGCGACAGCCCGGAACTACCACCCAGCACAGGGCGCCCATGAGGAGCCCACGGGCGGGCACCGAGCGAACACGAGGAATTACCACCCAGCACGAGGCGCCCGCGGGCGGGCACCAGGTGGGCACCAGGCGAACACCTGGAAACATCATCCGACTGCTCAGGAGAGCAAGGAAGGACGCGTCGAGCACCGAACGCCTTCATCACGTGACACCTCTCGCGTCAACACCTTGAAGAGCTCTCACGGGTCTTCTTCGGGCCGTCTTGGGGCTATCTGGGCGGCCTTCGTGGGTCCCTTCAGGGGCCCTCTCGGGCCAGCTTGGAGCCCTCCTAGGGCCGTCAATGGGGGCTCTCTTCGGGATCTGAGCGCGCCCTTTGCGAGTGGGCGGGCCCAGGGTTTTCTTGCAATTGGCTACCCGCGGCCCTAAACAGGAGAGGTGTCGAGCAGGTGGCGCCGGAGGTGGAAATAGGCACACGCGAAAACGGGGGGGTCCGACATGCGTCTCGGCACGCATGCGTTTGGCACATGGTTTCACATGCGTTCGTCGCCAACTGGGCCACGGGAAGAGCATTCAAGGCGCGGTTGGTAGATTCTTCGCACATGGGAGTACGTGCGCGGAGGGGGGTCTGTAGCATGCGTCTGGCGCATGCGTGGGCGACGTGTCTTGACGTCCGCAGGCGCCAAAAGGCGGACTCTTCTCACGTACACATACCCGTCGGTTGGAGGAAACGGGTAGAGACATGGAGTAGCAAGGCGTTGGACGCAGATGGGTTCACGCACGCCCCATGAAGAGGAGGGAAACAAGGATAACAGCTAGACCCTTTAGGTAGGAAGGCGCCCAAAGTATATTGGGATCTGTATATCCCAGGCGACCTGCTTTCTAGGACCAGCGTTTACGTGGCCGAAGGGGGGGTGTCCACCAGGAGTCTGGCGTGAGCGCCATTTGGGCGCCTTCACGTGCGCGGGCGCAAGGGGGGTATGCAACATGTGGTCGCCAGATCCTCCGCACGAGGAACAACGTGCTCGAAGCGGATAACCAACATGCGTCTGGCGCGTGCGAAAGTGGGGCGCGTGCTCACTCGTGCAGGTTCGAAGGGGGGATCCAGCATGTGCTCGGCGTGATTTCGCATGTCAAACTATTTGCGCGGAGGGGGGTTCTCCGACATGCGTCTGGCGCGCGCGCGTTTGGGATGTGTGTTTCACGTGTGCAGGTGCCAGGGTGGTATCCAACATGTGATCTGCAGATCCTTGAAAGCAGGAGTACGTGCACGGACTGGGGGGTGTCTTACATGCGTCTGGAACGAGGGCTCTAACATGCGTCTGGCGCGAGGAAGTTTTTGGGATATGCTTTGAAGTGTGCAGGCGCCACATGGACTATCCAATACAGGTCGGCTGATGTATCGGACGTGCACGGAGAGAATCTACAACATGTTCTGGCGCGTGCGCATGCGGGAAGCACTTTCACGTGTGCTGGCGCGAAGGGGAATAACCATCCGACTTGTGGTCAGTTGTTTTCTCGAAGTACAAAAGCGTGCGCGGAGGGGTACCCAATAGAAGTCTGGTGCGATTGCAATTTCCCACTCCCTGCATGAAGTTCGTCATACTTTGCCTCAGGAGGCTCTGGGATGCCCGATGCTGGTGGTAATGACGACCACGGGCGTCGGAACGAACTCTCATACGAAATGCGCAGTCCGCCCACCGCACAGCAAAGTCCAGCACACCGCACAGCACACCGCACAGCACACCGCACAGCAAAGTCCAGCAGAGTACTGAACAGCATACTATGGTGTACAACACGAGCGTATGCCAAATGTGCCATAACAAGATCCCTCAAGTTGATCTCTAGGGCCTCCTGGGGAGTGTCTTGGGGATGTCTGGGTACGATGGCAGGCCTCTTGGGATCTGTTCGGCGCCTCTTCGGAGCTTGCTGGCATCTCTCGAGGCAATGTTCGGACATCTTCACAAGCATGGTCACCTTCCTTGATTCGGCGGCGAGCGATGGGGGGAAGTGAGAAGGAGAAAGCCTCCTCAGAAGCCCTCTCACAAGCCCTCAGGCGGCGGGACCTCTCACAAGCCCTCAGGCTGTCTGAAAGGTATTCTGCGTCTTCGGGGAAGGCTCTGACAAACTCCTCGGAAGGCCGGGGGACCTCCGAGCCTTCTAAGGTTAGGTCGGGCATGTCCGCCCACAGGCAGACTTTTGACGAAAAATACAAAACATATCAAGACATACTCCGAAAATGCTCAAACATGCTCAAACATCGTCCCCACATGATTTGTTGGCTATTTTTGAATTTTCCTCCTGTAGAGGGACCCGCCC